TATATATATATATATATATATATATATATATATGCTGGTGAAGATTCTTGGTCATCCAGGTCATAGTCAAAAACTGGACTTTGTTTCCAAGTTGAAGACGTTTCACTTCCCATCCAGGAAGCTTTTTAGATTCAAAATGTCAGTGCTAAGTTCCAAGCTTTATAGAGTAGCCCAAACAAAGCCTTGTTTTGGCCTAGAAAACATGCAAATTCAACTGGAAGAACAGGTCAGCCCCTTTGGATTGGGGAGTCGTTGAGGTCTTTGTTAGCCTCCAATTTCTGATACTGGTCTATACCTCTAAAAAGGGGGAGTCATTAGGGGTATTGTTGGCCTGGCTTACCAGGCGAGTTGTCTTGGTCCTCTGCATGGTGATGAGGATTATGATAGCGGGAAGGAACCAACTCTATCGCTGTGTTGTGCGTTTATTTTTAATAAGATCAATCTTATTTATAAAGAATCCCATAAAATCATTACTGCTAAGAGCAGGTAGGATGGATGGTTCAACTAAGCTATGGCTCTGGGTGAGTTTGGCAACTGTATTAAAAAGAAATCTTGGATTATTCTTATTCTCCTCTATTAATGAGGAGAAATATGCTGCTCTTGCTTTACAAAGGGCCGCCTTTAATGGTCTTCTTTGGTTTGAAATGTACTGGGATTTTGTTTTTAGAAAAAAACCCTCTTGAGTTTTTCAGAGACTCCAGCAACTTATGGCATGGCGATGCTTTTGCCTTAAATCTTCTCACAGTTATGTTCTGCTGCGTGTCTTTTGGATTTCCTTGCTGATTTGACAAACACCCAGTTTGGGTATCCAGAGGTTTGAAGAGCATCTTTGATGTGTTTCTGTTCTTTGTGCTTCCCTTCTGTTTTAGAGGGGACATGCTCGACCTGGTGTTGTGAGGTTCAGAGGTTTGTTCCAGTGGGTGGTGTGAGTCAAAAAGAAGATATTGGTCTGTGTCAGTGGATTTCCTATACACTTCATTGTTGAGGTTTCCATCTCCTTCCATGCTTATTGAACAGTCCAGAAAAGGTATCTTTTTGTTGTCAGCATCCTTTCTGGTGAACTTGATGTTTACTTGATGCCCACTGTGTGTATATATATATATACCAAATATTGACCGAATGGTAATGGCAAACCAACAGGACATTGTGGTGGTGGACAAAAAGCAGAGAAAAGCCGTTATGGTTGACAGCAATACCAAGTGACTGCAACATGAGGAGTAAGGAACATGAGAAACTAGAGAAAAACCAGGGGCTCAGAGAAGAGCTGGAGAAAACCTGTAAGGTCAAAGCATCAGTAGTGCCCATGGTCATTGGGGCACTTGGGGCAGTGACCCCAAGCAATTGGATCGGTTACAGCAGATCCCTGGAAATACGTCAGACATCTTGGTCCAGAAAAGTGCAGTTCTAGGAACAGCATAAAAACTGTGCAGAAACCTCAAGCTCCCAGGCCTCTGGTAGAGGACCCGAGCAGAGCATGGGGGTCTAGTAGCCTGTTATACAAAAATGTTTGTTGATCTGTGGGAGATGTTCCCTAATGTCAACTCATAAAGAAAAAAACAAATTCTGTTACAAAATATTACTTTTTGTTTTATTTTCTATTGTTGCTTGAAACTGCATTTTTTTTATTAACACATCTTGTTTTGCTGATTTAGAATCATCATATTTTAATTATTACATAAGGTTATGCGTTTTGCCTTCACAAATGCACGTTTGAACACTGAATGCCGTTTAAAAAGAAAAAAAACATAAGAGTACAGAAACAAATCAGAAATGTCTCACCCTATATGATGCCCTGAAAATCCACAGGTTGTTCTTTTGTTTCATACTCTACAGAAATACATTAGTGTTATTACAGCTAAATAGACGTTTGACCCAAATAGATTTTTTATTTTATAGTTTTTTTCAAATTTAGATGTTTCAGATTTTCGTAAAGGGTAAAAATCACACAAAGATAATAAATGCTGATAAAAAGAAGCCAACAATTTTTTCAATTAAAAGTCGGAAAAACTACCCAAACCAAAAAGTCTATGAAAGAGTTATAAAGCTCTACCTCTAACTGCTTCTTGTGTCATCTTTGGCTTTTTTTGGCAGAATGTATTCAGTGACACTGTGACCTTTTAAGGTAATGCCCAAGTAATTTAAATCAGATTTACCTGCACACTTGAACTGTATCATCCCATATCGATCAATTAATTTCTCTGAGGTGGACTTTCTAGAATACTTTGAATCATTATCCTGCTGCACCCAAACTAGCTGGGGAAAAAAATCATAAACTTGCAGGCAGACATTCGCCTGAAGATTTTTCTGCCAATGATCATAATTCATCAGTCTATTGGTTTCGGGAATTAGACAATTTCTCGAAACACCAAATCGGCCCCCAATCATTACACTATAATATACCCGGGGCTTAATTTTACACTCGAAGAACACCACATCCCAAAAAGCTCCACTCTTATCTTGTCTTATATTTTTTCTTAACTTGTTAATCATGAAATTTTGTTAAGCAGCTGTCAGACATACTTTCTAATGTGGAACTCTCCAATGTGTACCATTTTGTCAAATCCCATGATTGTTTTATTAAGAATTTATTTTAAAAATAAAAAAGTGAGTCCTGAGGTGCTTAGGGTGTTCTAGAATTTGGCCATCTGGGATAGGTTCATCCATGTTTTACGTTTTTCTACTATTGCAGCTAATAACTGATGGTGACATTGAAACTTTTTTGATTAAGTTAAACATTTTGTTGTAAAGAAAAATAAAATCAGAAGAAATCAGTCAAAGGGGTGAACTGTTTTAAAAGCAATATAAACTGATTAAGATAAAAGAATCGGAAAAAAAACAATAACACAAGTCATGTATGTGTATACATCCCAAAACTCATTTAATTAAGCTTTCTGTTCCATGTACAGATACACCACAACACAGTTATAATCTCCGTTGATTGTGAAGTGTAATACTGCTTTTGTATGCAATGTTTAATCTCTTGAGTTATTTTGGAACAACGCTTTTTCTTTTTCTTCATAAACACTTTTAGGAATGTCAGCTAAATGAAAACAAATCACCATTAGTACCAAAACTACTGATTTTCAAGGTAAATGTTATCTCTAATATAGAAAAAGAATAAGTTTGCATGAATGTAATTATCGTTAACATCACTTAGCATTGAGTCTGAGCAACGCTTTTGATTATCTTGAGCGGTAAAAAAAAATGGCTGACAAAGGCCATCTCCATGGTGCCTGCAAACAGGTAATAACATCTATTTGGTAACAAATCTGAGGGATAAAAACAAACACAGGCAATCCTTGCTCAAGTGCAAACCTATCCTTCTCCTTAGGCAAATCATATCAAGTGGTTATAAAAATGGTTATGATAAAATACAAAGTCAAACAACAGTTGTAGTATTTTCAAAATGACTCTCACACCCATAAAATATTTCATTTGTGTATAACTAGCCCAAAAATTAAGGTAAACTCACTGGCTTTGTGCAAAGTAATAGTCATTTACTCATTACTTATAGCTTTGAGATATTTTAAAAGCTTTAGGGAAGAATTGCAAATCAAAAACAACAGAAAACTGTCAAATAGAGGATGGAGGAAAAAAAGTGAGAAGCCATCATCAGGTCTGATTTGTGAATCAGTGATACAACTTTATGCAGCCTTGAAGGAGGTAAGGAGCTTGTAGAGAAATAGAGCTAATGAGGTAGGTTCTTGCTGTAAACAAAAAAGCAATAATTTCCAGTAAGAAAATAAAAATGATTAAATCTTGAAAGGAAGACCGGGAAATCTGTGGCAACACGAAAGACTCCATCTTGTACACCTCAGTATTACACAGACCTAAAATTAATAACACAGCTCATAAAAATAAAAAAATAAAAAACAGAAACATTTGTATAACTCAAGAGGTAGTGGCTAACACCAGTACTTGAACTGTAATATGTCACTTCAGCATCGCTTAAGAGTCTGTGGAGTGTGTCAGTGGATGATTCCCTAACAAATAATATACACTTTGTTCTTTTTTTTTTGTTTTTTTTTTTCTTTTCTTTTCTTTTTTTTTTTTTGGTTAATTCCCTGAGACCAGTTAGTCATCCTGAGAGGACCTGTGAGTAAAAATGTAAAAAATACATCATACAAAAAGATGTTTCCATTGAGATTTGAGCATGAGCTGAAGTTTGGTCGACCATTTCTTTTACGCCGAGCTGCATTTGTGGTTTGATTTTCAATGCACGCACACATTCAAAGCTGTATATATATATATATATATATATATATATATATATATATATATATATATATATATATATATATATATATAAATAAAAAAAAACACTGTGTTGCACTTTCGGCTATAAGATGCTCTGATTCTGAAAGAGTAAGAGGAATAGCAAGCACTTCAGCAAGTCTTAACTTTAAATGCCTTCAAAAGATTTAAAATTAAAAAAGCCAAACCTCTTTGGTATAGAAATATACCAAAAAGGTTGTTTGTATTAACATGGCTTTAAAAAAGCTCACATGCCAGTTTGATATAATTGTAAAAAGTTATTTGATTTGTCAGAATATTAAGAAACAACTCCAAAGCGACCTTACATGAACATTGTGAGAAGTCGACTTCAGATGAGCTCTATTCACATTCAGTATGGTCAGAGAAGAGTTGTTAGTGTCAGTAAGTGCCACTAAAGCCATGCTTGGGATTCAAGTTATACCAAAAGCAACATAATCCATCCAGCTAGTTCTCCCTCTATTGTTTCGATTCTGGAGCAGTAGCAGCAGAGATGTCATCCCATTACCTAGCTGGTGCTGAATGACAAATGCTAGGCACTGACGGATGAGAAAATATGGTTTGATTATACTAAGAAACATAAAACAACACTGAGAAAAGCAGACATTATCGACATTCACTTCCCAGAGGAAGAAGTTGTGAGGTATCATGTGAGTAAAGCAGCTATGATAATGAGGTTATGTTGGAAACTGCACCTTCAAGGTGAGTTTTGTGCTGTGAGCATACAGTACCTTGCAAAATTAGATATTTTTTACATTACAACCACAACTTCAAGTATTTTTGTGGGATTATATGTGATAGAATCACAAGTAAAAGGATATGTAGTTTTTAATTTTTTTTTTTGTTCCAGTCAAGAATCTTAAAAAAGTATGCTGTGTATCAATACACAGACCCCTCAACCTCAGGCCCCTATTGAAAAATCAAATGCAAACTGAGTCTACAATTTTAATACATTTTCTATTATTTACACTCTATATAAGGTGGTTTAGAGTCAATGAATGATGGAATGAGCCTTAGGTAAATCTTAAACACACTCAATTAGTCTGTTTGGGACATTTTTTAAAGAAGAATGTAAGACGAAAATGCAATCTCTTGATGTGCAAAACCAGTGCAGACACACACAGCAAGGCCTGCACCTCTTAGGAAACAAATACTGAATAACAATATTGATTTCTGTAAATCCATTTAGGACTGGAACAATTAATTGGATTAATTCTGATATACCCATTATTGAAATAATTGTCAGCTAATTTAGTAATCGAATAATCGTTAACTAGAGAATAGAGACACTAAAACCTGCCTTAGCTGTTCAGAAAAACCCACTTAGGGCAGTAAATATACAAAGAATGTAAAAAATATATAAGCATTTTACATTTAAGATTAAAAAATATATATATATGTCAATATGCTCTATCCAGAACTAACAAGTGGAAAAGTGTTTGAGTTTCACCTGGTTTAATTTCATAAAAAGTGTTCTTTAAGGAATCTTTGACTACCCAACTATTAGTTGATTAATCAAAAAATAATCGACAGATCAATCGATTTGCAACCCTGAATCCATTTTTCTCCATCTTATTCTTTCATAAAAAATTTCCCACACATTCTTTGCATGTTTTAACAATATGCTTAAATAAAATCTACAGTTTCTGTTGGACTGGAGTAAGTGTCCCTGCAACTGGCCATGAATAGTACTGACATCCGGAGTTTTAACAACAGTACCAGTAATATTAAAATCAATAAAAAATCCCAAAAATCAATACTTTGTGTTGATCTATCACATAAAATCCCCAATAAAAGTGTTGACATTTGTGGTTGTTTCATCATAAAATGTGGGGGGAAAAGGAAAGGGTATGATTAGTTTAACAAGGAACTGTATGAACTGATCAATATAAGAAAAAGTGGAGTATAGTTTGGGAAAAATGGAATAGTCTATGAGAAAAATGATTAAATAGAGGGAGAATTTTCACACACAATTATGTATCCCATGCACTTAAACAGGGCTATGCACCTATTTCAGAGCTAATTCCTTATATATGCTTACATAATGTTAATATAACTTTAATTATATCTTGTAACTTTACATATATATTAAAAACTACTTTGAACTAATTACGTAACAACCAAAATGGGAGTCTAATGATAAGGCCTTTACTTAACATCTAAACTATGATCTAGACTGATTATATATTTTTCTTATATGACGTTTCTATCTGTGATAATATGAAACTTGTAGAGTTAACAGCCGTGACTCTATCTTGAAGAAGACAGTGCTCCGGTTTGACAATTCTGATTTCTTTCAGAGTATCCATACCACACACACTTTCCTCTTCTGTCTTAGTCTTGCACTTGTTCACACTTCAACAATCAGTTGGTCCGGTCTGTGTCAAGAGATATGTATGGAGGGTTGTGAAATTAGAGAGAATGTACACATAGCAGCTTGGTGGCTTTTTAAACAGCCCCTCAGGAATGCATTAAGTTTCTCCAAAAGGTCCTTAGAAGCCAAGCTAAAAGTCCGATTGGGTCTGGATTATTACTTAGAGGGATGCAAGCTCTTAAGAGTTGGCCTCTAATCCTTTTTCAAATGAGCTACCATGTGTGCTGCGAAGATGCAATCAGGAATTTTTCTCTCTTCAAATGATTGCGCTTACGGTATAAAATTGTGGCTTTAAGTCAGCAACATAGATGTGTGTGTGTTGGTTGGGGGAGGGCTTCTAAAATAGCCCCCTTTCAGGTCCAAGGGGTAACAGAAATAAAACAGTCATCGAAACCTACAAACAAATCACATTTCACCAATGAGCTGCAACCTCTGAAACATAAAGAATTATTCCCTGCAGTCACCTTTCCAGCAGTCGTTTCCATAGCTGCACCAGATGACTGCAAGTCAGTCACACACATTCATGCACGTCCGTACCCCGCTGATCGTTGCCACAGCTGTGCTGGTTAGAAAAATAATACATAATGAAAATAAAGAAATAAAAACCTCCCATTTATTCACAATTGTGAGGTAGACGAGGAGGGAGGGGGAGGGAGGGGGGCTTCAGGTAACCTTGATTGAGGATAGACTCGAAGGTCAGAGGCTATGCGCTGGAATCAGTTCACCGCTATAGGATGTTTTCAGGATTTCCTCCACCTTTGGGTCCATGAGCTGCGGTGTGTTTGGGGCTCCTCGGGAGATGAGGAGGATCCCTCCAGGGGAGACGAGCTTGAGCGCTCTTCCTCCTCAGGGAGGCCGAGGTGGGGCCCGGTGCCTGATGCGGAGGCCGAGGTAGACGCTTGTGGGTCCTGAGAGCCTACGGCGGGTGCAAGCGCCTTGTGAGGACACTGAGCAACCATGTGTGTGATGCTCTGGCAGTAGTGGCATTTCTTTGGCTGTGGGGGCAGGCCACACTCCTTGGCATGGTGATCCAGACCTCCACAGTTATAACAGCTGCCAATGACAAAAAAAAAAGTTTACGATTAAATATCTGTGTGGTGTTTATCTGAGTCCGTATTTGTTGCTAAAAATCCTGCAACCTTTTCTTCATTTTTTATTTTCTACAAGGATTCCTTTGTGTTGTACTCTAATCATTGCAGAGTTTCCCCACGTCTGCAAACAAGCTGCATACATTTAGATTTCTCACTTTTAAAATTCTGATTGGTTACCACTATCAAAAAAACTAATCTTAATGCTAAATCTGAAAGGAAATTAACAGGAAGAAAAACATAATCAGTGTTTCCCTTTTAAGATTACATAATTTTCCTATTATTTGTTCTGTATTTAAATCATTCTTATTGTTATCATGGAGCAAAAAAACAAAAAACAAAAACTCACATCTTTTAGGATAAATCCATAACCATGATACTGATCTTTTTTATGTGTTTATCTGTTATGCCAGCTGACATAAGCTACGTAAATTGTAATTTTCTTATCTAAGAGAATGCATTTGATTTTACATGTTTGTTATATGTAAATAACTGCAATATCTAAATAAAACAACAAAAAAACACCTCTTTTAAGTAATAAAGTACCATTGAAACTGCCCCGAATGATAACTTAGTAAAAAAGGAATGTCAAAATTTCACATTTTTTTTAACTTCAGTAGCAATATGGAATTTATTAACTCTTATTCATATTGATATTAAAAACTGAGGTTTTTTTTTTCTTAGATTAATATTTTTTTACAATATATAAGTTATATCATTCAAAGGTATACAATATAAAATGTATGCAATACATTCTATTTTAGCAAAAAGGGTAATTCCTGCACAGTATAAATGATAAAGCCTTAAAGGCATAGTGGAGGATGCTGTTTTTCCGGGTGGATCATCTTAATACGAGTTCCTCCTAATTGTCAATCAACATGGTGATACGTTTACTTAAGTCCGTCCTACATGATCGTCCACATTTTTACTTGCCGGTGGTGAGTATGACATAGTGGAAAAATTGCAAATCTTATTTTGGAACGTAAACTTGTATGAGTGATGCAAACAGAAACTTTTAAACAGAGCGTGCACGAGGAGAAATGGGCTCGTGCACGCTCTTGCACGCGTTTAATAGGCGTGTGAATGGGTTTAGGGCTGTGCATGTGCATGTGGAGATGGCGGGTCTTTGAGAAAATTTGCAAAAATCCTCCACTATACCTTTAAGGTCCAAAACAAAAGAAATGAGAAATAAGTAAGGGGGCTTAGAAAGCATAAAATTTTGTACAAAGCCTTTTCCTTTCACTTGACATTAAGTCTTAACGGATGCCCTATCAAAAGGACAGATTTCAACATAAATTACCATCAGTAGCTTATTAATTCAAAAGCTTCAGGAAAGTGTGTATTTGAGTTTTTGATTAGAACCTGATAACATTGCAGAAAATTTCTTTTAAGCAATACTTACCATAAAATTTAAAGAGAGAGCGAATAAATCACCACTATGAACTAGGGTTGCTCTGGTAACAGAACAATTATTGGTGATTAAAAATGACTGAATGAAATGCAATATTCCCTGTTTTCATAATGAAGGGGTTAACATGCAGAAATGTACAACCTGGATATTCACTTCCAAGAACCTAGAAATAAAGATGATCTCTGGAAGATGTTGAAATGTTTCAGGCTGTTTCTAGAAGTACAAGATCTGGTTGATTTGATTTAGGGTTTGTTTTGTTTCTAACCAGCGTTAACTTCATTGATCTAAATTGTACACCAGAAATTTCCCTGTTAATTAGATCAAAATTCCCATTATTCCTCTGTGTAAACACATTAAAACACAAAGGACATGTTTTTATTGTTTTCCTATTTAATTCAGTAAAAAGTAACAAACACCAAATAATCAAAATAAACAAGACTACCCTTGTTATCCTTTTATTTGACTCAAAACTACAACCTTCATCTTTTTTTAAATGATCCGTGTTTCAAACAAATATTTTCTGAATTAAAAGAGCGAACAATCGAGTTTCAATGTTAAATCAAATTTGGTTGTTTGGAAAGAGAGATTTAAAAACAAGAAATCTATTTGTCTGATTACACGTTTTATCATTTGTCATTAAAATAATAATAAATTACTCTTTGGATTTTGATAAATGATGATATTGACTGATAAAATGTATAACTATAACTGAATAATGTCTAAAACTATTACTAATCCATGTTTACACACACATAAACCCATGTTCATATATAAGAGGGAGAGAAACAGAAAAATAATTAAATATAATCTTCATGAAATAAAATAGGAGATAGAATTTGTCAGACAGAATTTCTTATTTAATAAAATTCCTAAGTAAGGGGATATTAGAGGTGTAGCAGTGTGTTCGTAAAATGCAGCAGCCAGTAGGGGTCAGCATCGCACCTCTTTAAAAACAGCTGCAGCATTGGGCATGCTCACTGTGACCAATGACGTCACAGGGATGTACCTGCCATGAATCCAACACCGGCTCCTTCCAACCTTGGTAGAAGTTACACACTTGACCTATTACGGGATCAATTATCCAGAATGAACTGAATTATTCAGCTCTGTAAAACAACCAGGGAGCCTTTCTCTCAGATACAGTTTCCGGCTTTCCAACAACAGCGTTTATGTTCTAAATATCCAGAGGAGCACAACAATACCCCAGGTGTTTTCCAGTAACAAAGCGTGATCGACTGGGGTTTTTGAATGCAAATGCATTCTTGATACAATACAGTTGCATTTACTCTAACCGGCCTGATTTGGTGCACATTGAATGAAAGCGTTATCTTTCCCTCTGAGGACAGGGAACACACTCACCTTCCAGGTGTTCTCAAGGACCCTCACATCACAGCTTTTGATGGATTTTAGAATAGCGCCAATTCAGAGTGTTTTAGAGAACATAAAACGATCGAGCTGCGGCAGCACAGCATATTTGTGATTACACTGTCAGTAATATAAAAGCTGGCAAATTGATTTAAAATGGCGCTTATGGCGGGCAGAAAGCTCTGTTCATTTTCATATTACGCCACACAATAACCATGGCAACAAGCATGTAAGGTTGACTAGACTTAATCTATAATGTCCCCTCAGAAAGGGCTGAATTCTATACATTTACAAATGTCTGTTTCATTGCAGATACATTTTTCACACACATATACACACATCAAGTATCTACAGACATATCAATGTTGATTAACTAGAAGTATAAGGCCTACCGATCTCCCTTTGGTTTACGTTTCTGGAGTGGGACCTTCCCTTTAGGTCTCCTCTCACTGCCCGCACACGGCCCTCCACCAGGTCCAGTCACCCGCACAGACTCCAGGCCCTTAGAAGACTTCTTATACGTGAACTCCACCTGCTCACCCTCCTTTAAGCTGCGAAAGCCCTCCATCACCAGTTTGCTCTGTTGGGAAATTGACAATAAATATCTAAATGAGTCGGTTCCCAATTTTAAAGTGAAAAAACATGGATAGCTGCAATGGTGCACACAGATATTTGCAATGTATTTTTGGAATGCAGTACAAGATGAAACGCTCCAATCAGCCAGCCAAACATCAAAATTGAACAATTTTCCCTTCAGCTGCAGTGATTATTTAAAAGCATAAAAACAAAGAAGCCTCACCATCTTCTGAAAACAAATTTGATAGAAAATGCAACTTGACCAAACATAAATAATTTCTGATGCATATATCAAATTTATCCTGTAACTTATCTAGGGCTGCAACTTTTTGGTGAATTGATTAATCAAATAATAATCGGATGGCAAACGGTTCCTTAAAAAGAATTTAGAATGAATCTAAACCAAGTGAAGATAAAACTGCACCCTTTGATAGCTTTTCTGGATAGAGCATCTTACTGAACAAAAAGAGGTTTTTGATAAATGCAAAATGTTTATTGTTTATAGTTTTGGTCTTATAACTGCTATTGGGTTGCTCTGTCAGCTAAACGCATGTTTTAGAGTTTCTATACTCCAGTTAATAATTAATCGATTACTAAATGAGTTAATGATTATGTCAATGATCGAGTAATCTCCATTATTCAGATCTAAACTCGTTTTTTTTTTTGGTTTTTTTTCTGGCTTGACTTAAAAATTTGAATTACATTAAAAAACCTTGTCTGTGACTTTTTTTCTTCTCTTTTATGTTTTAAGCCAAATGAGGACAAAAATCTAAGATGGTTTATCAGAGTGAGAAAGAAAATAACAGAGAAATTGTCACTAGAAAAATCTGTTTTACTTCCGTGTTTAATATAAATTAATTATGTTTTTATTAGAGCAAAAAAATATATAATATGAAAAATATCAAAAAGCTGTTTTAAATTTTATGCAATTATTCCTAATTTCTAAATCTGTAGCCTTTTTTTTCTTTCATATGTTAGAAGATTAGCTCTTAAACACTGGAAATATCTACAACCCAGGAAAACAAAATTAATATATAATATGAAAAATATACATACACACACTTTATATTCATTAAAGGGTTGAAAACTAAGAACTTGCTCCATTGTACACATATAAATACATCAGTTGACATTATGTACTTTTATTCATTTTTTTGAGTTAAGTATAAATCTAAACCACAAAAATAAGAATGTGTTTTCAATACTTTCTTTGTAAATTAACCTGCAGAGCATTTTGTCTGTTTTACATTTAACAGTCAATCAAATAAAACCATAAATTTGGACTCTAAGACCTCCTAGAAGCAGTTATTAGCATTGAATTGGGGAGAAAAAAACTACTAAAATAAAAAAAATAATAATAATTCAGTTGGGCAAATTCTATAATATTAAGAATTTTGTGACAAAACAATAATACAGCTGTCCACTGAATCAAAGCTGAGTCTCGACAAGATTTTCAGGCATTTGAAAACAAATTAAGAAAGAAAGAAGAATTTAAATTATGTGGAGTTGAAGTAATGCTACCTCTTAGAAACCTTGCAAAAACTATTTCAATTCACATAGCATTTTGTCTTTACTATATTAAAAATGCTATTGCTTTTTTCTTTATGTTCCTGTTAAATCTGTGTCTGACAACTCCACACCCATAGGGGCAAATTTAACACATACATAGCGAGCAATCACCACATATATTATAACTGCGAACAAACAGCTCTTCAATTAACACTTTCTAAAACCAAATTGCTTTTCACAGAACACCATCCATAAACACAAAATAAATGTTACTATGTGGGATTTTTCACAGCGGTACATGAAGTAAAAAAAAAAAATCAACTTAAATGAGACAGAGGCTCTTTTTTCTAAACATGCTATATCGATGTAACATGACGGTTTGTCCTTGCCGTGCTCTCTTTATCTACTATTACAGAGATGCCACTTCCTATTCCTTCTTCAGCCTCAAAAGAGAAAAGGGATAGGGATGCCATCGTTTTCGTTCAACACCTTCACCATCCATCTTATCTACATGATCCCAGCTATTGATTTAGTTACTGCACAACCAGCAGACAATGATTTATGTCTCGTTGATCGAGACAGAAATGGCAACTTATAGGCACTGTATCCGTGACCTTCGCGAATCAAGGCGAGCCCTGCAGATCCTGACATAGGTAAACACACACACCCACACAAGCAAGCAGCATGCAAGAGCAGGCCTACAACCTGCTATACATCAAGGACTATAAATAACAAATGCTGGCTATCTGTAAAAGCAATGCCGGCTAAAGACATGGTGTGTAGGAGAGAGGAGAAAATAGACGCTTATATCAGAAAGAATGAAACACTAAAGTAAAGAGCCAGAATAGAAAATTCACTTGGAGGCTATTTTTCCACCTCAACCCCACTGCAGTTATAGGAAGCTAAAAGCCATCTATAGGAGTCTTATATTTACTAATAAATATATACAGGAGGAAGAAATAAGGTCAGTGTGTACAACAAAGAGAAGAAACTACAAAACAGCTTAGTGGATGAGCGCCATGCGCTTTGATTTAAAGCTTAAAATCGGCTAAAAGTTTAGAGATTTTCATGTGTATAGTTTACATTAAACAGCAGCAAAGGAGTCCTATTTATTAAATCTTTTCAGGTGACAATATCATTGACAAAAAAAAAAAAAAGAGGGACATTTTTCATCACTTGTTTGTTTATAAAGACAAATAATCCAAAAGCGTTGATGAAAACTTTAAAATTCTTTATAATTTTTATTGATTTCATAAAACCATTCTAAATAATATTTGAAAGGCCTGAAGGTTTAAAAAATGAGGAATCGTTAAACCAATAAGCTAAAACAAACAACTTTAGATAAAAGTTTGACACGCATTTGAGCATTTTATTTTGCTTTTCGTACGAACAAATTACCCATCATTATTTCAGTCTAATTTATGCTGTATTACAGCAAATTTATTTGGAGATTACTGCTATTTTTAATAGACAACCGCAATTATTCACATCTCTGGTAGATATAGATTTGTAGTAATTATTTGATTTTATCAACCTGTTTTTTTATAACTGGAAGTAGAATTTATGTTTTGGAGTGGCCCAAACATAGCCTCCATTTTAATCGGTGAAAGGAGTTGATTAAGGTGATTTAAAGAGGCCTTCCAAGCTCAAAGAGTTGGAGTTGATCACAAAAAAAAATATTTCAAAATAAAAACAGGGCCAGTTAATCTAATTAATTAATTAATTAATTAAGACTAAATATCTTACAAGTGATTATTTTAAGGGTATATTTTTTTCACATGTAATTCTATTGATAAAAAATCCTATTCCTTGTATTTTCTTTGGAATATGTGTCTAATTTCCTATCAGAAACAAATATTTGACTCAAATAATAAATAAAGAACGTGTTCACCGAAGGTACGGACACAGCACTTTGCAAATATGCAAGTGTAATGTTTTATTTTTGTTCAACTTTGGTAGTTAATTGAGTTTCGAAGCAATCCTAACTGCATCCGTTAGAGCGAAAAATCCAAAACAAACAAAATAAAGAAGAACAAATATTTGAAATGCACATACAGAAAAGCTGTTTAAGCATGTAAAGTCTAATAAATAAAAAAAACATTTGTTAAAGTTAAAGATTTTACATACTTTGATGCAAATAAATAGATGGAAGACTTAAAGTTTTATTCAAGCTATTGACTGTAATAAAACCACACCAAACTCAAAGCAATGAAAAATCGATTTTCTTTATTAGATAAATATATTAGATATTTTTCCAATAATTTTTCTAAAGGGATTAGAAGAGCAAAATGACAAAATTCTACCAAAAAAGACAGGATTAATATAAAAAAAAGATTATAATACTTTTTTTTAAAGTACCTCAAATAAATTTTTCTACTTTATAATTTATATAGTTACACAGAAAATATTTAGAAGAAGAAATGATACTTTAATGGCCTATAACTTAAATCTTTTGTTCATTTTCTCACTTCTGTTATTGAGCTTAACAGGATGCACTCTCATACATTCAGACATTATTGTCAGATCTTTTTTTTTTTTTAAGCTATAAATGTATATTTATTCTAAATTATGATTAACAAGCTGTAATAATACTTGTATCCAGAAACAACTGTCCAAAGTGTTTTCTCAAAATTTTAGTTTTACAAAATTGAGCAAAAGATCACCTTTAAAGCTTTTCTGCATTCTAGTTTCTACAGTAAATGTTAAGGCTAAAAGTCAACAATGTTATATAATAATAACTACAATGACTTTGTTCAAATAGTTAGCATATTTCCCTGAGACGTTATTTCTAATTATCTGTCTGCAGTTGCAGACTTTTGTACAGTCAAGGCCATTTTGCCTTTTTAAAATTAGTCCTCCCTTCTAGTTATTCAGATATTGGATTTTTTTAAAGAATAGAAGAAGAATATGAGAAGGAAAATGACAGAGGAACATTTCTGTAGTGCAGATGCAAGACAAGGAATAAAGCAGAAGGACGGAGCGGTGACTCACATATGAAAGTCGGCAGGTTGAAATCACTGACACTGACTAAACCGGATTATTTGCAGTTATTAAACCCATTAATATTAGTAAAGATTTTTTTTTTTATACAATTGGTGAAAACAATGTTAGTCAGTTAACAGAACATAATATTTTCAACATTAAAAATGAAGGAGTTATCACTATTATTTAAAAAAACGTAAACAAATCATGAATAAATAAATAAAATAAATAATGATGGAATATAATATAAAATTAACATTATAATCTTTGGTTTTACATAGCTCACTAAAGTCCCCCCGTTTCTTGGAAACTAATGTAAAATCTGATTGATTTTATTGTTTCCATCTATGAACCAAGCAGCTGACTGAAAGGCAGTCAATTAGGGGAAATCTATAGGAAGCGAGCAGAAATCTGTGCCCTTCCCCCACTAAACATTGAATCATGATGAATAATCATCAGCTAGTCTCCAGATTGTGTGACAAAAGTATTTCCCTTTCCTTTCCTCCCTTCATT